GTCTCTTTCATTCCTCTCTTGCTCATTGTCCTTCCTTCCTTCTTTCCATGCTTCCTTCCTTCCATCCATCCATCCATCCATCCATCCATCCTTCCTCTTTCTCTGTTGCTTTCGTCCCTCTCTGCCTCGCTCATTGTCCTTCCTTCCTTCCTTCCTTCCTTCCTTCCTTCCTTCCTTCCTTCCTTCCTTCCTTCCTTCCTTCCTCCCTCCCTCCCTCCCTCCCTCCCTCCCTCCCTCAGAGGCCAAGTTTAATTCAAGCATAAACAGATTTTCATCAGGATAAACTTTAAATCCCAGGAGAATATTTGCATGCTTCCAGACTAAAGACACACCCACGCACGTGCACAAATGCAATTTTTATTTTTATAAAATTAACCCTTGGTAAATTTATGGGCCATTTTTTGACAGAAATGCATTGGGACTTGTTGAATACTGCTTTTAATGTTTCCCCCCTACATACGTAAATCAGTTAATTTATTTTGTTTGTATCTGGGACTTGTTTGATTCCTCTTTTTCAACTTCCTCTATAATAGAAATTCAGAGATTGATAAATGCCTACATCTGCTGGCAATTTTGAGTGGTTGGCCTTGATTCCGATGATGTTGATTGTATTTTACCTTTCTTGGGGCGGGGGGAGAGTGCATGCATTTGCCTAGAAGAGCGGCCTCCAACCTTTTGGGCACCAGGGACCGGTTCCGTGGTCAGAGGTTTTTCCGTGGACCGGAGAGGGGTCGGTTTCGCGTGCTGCCTGCATCCTGCCGATGGGGCTTTGCTTGTTTGTGTGGACCAGTTGCTGGCATGGTGCGGCCCGGTGCTGGTCCATGGCCCGGAGGTTGGGGACCCCTAGCTCAGAATACGCCAAATCCTCCTTTATCCACATAATACAATTTTTTCTGCAAGGACTGAGAATGGAGATTAAAAATTAGACTGAAATATTGTAGCTCTCCAAGGACAGAATGTTCTAAATAAAAAAATTGGGCACAGAGAGAATAGTGTTAGTTCTGCTGTGCCATTTCTAAAGATTCAAGACTCGTTCCAAGATTTATTTATTTTTTTAATTGTTTGATTTTTGTTCTTTCAGGAGAATCTGGTCTGGGCAAATCAACCCTGGTGAACAGCCTCTTCTTGACAGATCTCTACAAAGACCGAAAGCTTCTCAACGCCGAGGGTACCCGTCTTATTTAGTCCTTGTGATCAACCCAATAGCGCAATTCCCATAATGTTTACAACTTGTGGATCTTAATTGTTTATTCTTGGTCGAAGCCTGGTGGGGGTGGGTGTCTTTGTAATCTGCGAGGATCTGATTTTTACAAAATGAGCTGGGTCATAGACCAGCTGAGATCTTTCCTGGCCCAAAATTATATCGTAGAATAGCTGAAAGCCTGCTTGGGTGTAATGAATGAGACTTGGGAAAGATCGTGGTGCTACCCACGAATTGGTTAGTCGTGGTTAGCCCTTGGAGAAGATCACGGGACTTGGAGAGGGTCACGGGACTTGGAGAAGGTGCTAACTTCCCATTGTTGTTTTTCCCTTCGTCCTTATCTTATTAAGAAAGAATAAATCAGACAGTAGAGATTGTGAAACATACTGTGGACATCGAAGAGAAAGGGGTCAAGCTGAAGCTGACCATAGTGGACACCCCAGGCTTTGGAGATGCTGTCAACAACTCAGAGTGGTGAGTCCCTCTTTTGACTGAGATTGCTCAAAACCCACTTAATTTCAACTCATCCGTTCTCTGAGCTTCTCCTGAACCTCTCTGCGTGACCGAGAAAGACACATCTGCATCCACATTAACCAAGATTAAAACTAACCAAAGCTAACACCCTCTGGGAGGCCAACCACCAGACCTTCCATTACATTGGTCCGAGGTCTCCTGTCCGTGCAGTCAAAAATGTCACACCGATAGTCTGTGATTTACAACAGTTTGCCTTAGTGACCGCTCGTAATCACAATGGCACTGAAAACAAGTGACTTAACGAACGTTTTTTCACGCAACCGTTGCCGCATCCCCGTGATCACGTGATCAAAACTCAGACGGTTGGCAACTGGCACGTACTTAAGACGGTTGCAGTGTGTCACGTGATCCCCTTTGGCGTCCTTCTGGCGCGAAAGGTCATAAAAAGGGACCAAACTCACCTAACAACTATCTTGCTTAGCTGCAGAAACTTTGATGATGATAATAATAATAATAATAATAATAATAATAATAATAATAATAATAATAATAATAATAATAGTAAAGTTGGAAAGGACCTCGGAGGTCATCTAGTCCAACCCCCTGCTCAGGCAGGAAACCTTATACCATTTCAGACAAATGGCTGTCCAGTCTCTTCTTAAAAACGTCCAGTGTTGTCGGCTCAGTTGTGGTCATAAGTCAAGGACTGCCTGCATTTATTTAATTATTTTTCGCCACCTTTGATGCCGGGAACTAATTGCTTTTGTTTTCCTTGCTTCTGCTGTACAGTTGGAAGCCGATCACCGACTATGTCGACCAGCAGTTTGAACAATACTTCCGGGATGAGAGCGGCCTCAACCGGAAGAATATCCAAGACAATCGCGTTCACTGTTGCCTCTATTTTATCTCGCCGTTTGGACACGGGTAAGGCCACGATCGAACCATGGCGGCGAGTGTTGGATGCAGCTTCTACAGTTGTTATGCTGTAGGACAGGGGTCCCCAACCTTGGCAACTTTAAGACTTGTTGGACTTCAACTCCCAGAATGCCTCAGTCAGCATTGGAGACCTTTGCTGTAGGAGACGACCAGGCTGAGTATTTGAGGGCGAGGTCAAATGCACCTGGAGTCTCTACACCACACCTAAGTCCACCTCCCTTGAAGCCCATTGACTCTTACCTGGCACCAATTTGCCTTGTGTAGGTAGCATGACAATAAAGGAGGAGATTTGTAGCTCAGAGTTGAAACGAGGGGTCCTTGGTGCTCTCTGAGCTTGGTGGTTTTCTTGCAGATGTTTCATGACCCAGCTAGGTAACATCATCAGTGCTAGAAGGAAGGGGGGTTTGCAGAATGGAGGAGGAGGAGGAGGAGGAGGACTGTGGGGTCCTGGGTGCTCTCTGAGCTTGCTTGTTTTCTTGCACATGTTTCATGACCCAACTAGGTAACATGATCAGTGCTAGAAAGGAGTGGGATTTGTAGTACATTTTTGAACTGTGTCTTGCTTCCTGACTTCTTGAACTTGACACTAGATTTCTCTTTGTCACATCCAAGTTGCTGTTCTGTCTGGTTCTGGAATTCAGCTGGGAGGGAATTTATCTAGTACCACATCTAGCTTCGTTTCTAAGAAGCCAACCTGACGAGCTGAGATTTTGTCTTCTTGCCCCCTTTTGTGCCACAGACTAAGGCCGGTGGATGTGGAATTCATGAAGGCGCTCCATGAAAAAGTGAACATCGTCCCCCTCATTGCGAAAGCCGATTGCCTTGTTCCCTCCGAGATCAAGAAGCTAAAAGAACGGGTGGGCAGAAAATTGCTTTTTTTCCAAAGACTATTTTATTTTATTCCTACCTTTATGATTTGTATAAAGAGCTGACGGTGGCAAACGTACTCATTACGCCTTCCTCCTCTTATTTTCCCCACAATGACAACCCTGTGAGGTGGGCTGGGCTGAGAAAGAGGAACTGGCTGAAAGTCATCCAGTTGGCTTTCGTGGCTAAGGCGGGACTAGAACTCAGCGTCTCCTAGGGATTGGCCCAAAGTCACCCAAAGTTGGCTTTCACGGTTAAGTCAACCTTGAGCTGGTCGGGATCGAACTGCTGGCCGTGGGCAGAGTCAGCCTGCAGTAACTGCATTCTAACCACTGCGCCCCCATGTCTCTTAGGCAAAGAATACATTGCAATGCAGGGGAGTCTAATATGATTTGATTGGTGATGTTTTTGTCAGATCCGGGAAGAGATTGATAAGTTTGGAATTAAAGTTTATCAGTTTCCCGAGTGCGACTCTGACGAAGATGAAGACTTCAAGCAACAAGATAGAGAACTGAAGGTGAGCAAAACTAAGTCATTCTGAGACTCAAGTATAGATTACATTAAGGTAGTCCTGCGGGAGAAGGGCGGTATATAAATTAAATTATTATTATTATTATTATTATTATTATTATTATTATTATTATTATTATTATTATTATTATTATTATTATTATTATTATTATTATTATTATTATACAGCCTACTGGGAATAGAATAGAATAGAATAGAATAGAATAGAATAGAATAGAATAGAATAGAATAGAATAGAATAGAATAGAATAGAATATGGAATGGAAATAGAATAGAATAGAATAGAATAGAATATGGAATGGAAATAGAATAGAATATGGAATGGAAATAGAATAGAATATGGAATGGAAATAGAATAGAATAGAATATGGAATGGAAATAGAATAGAATAGAATATGGAATGGA